TATATATATATATATATATACACGTATATATACTTCTAAATGTCGTGTATCATGCATAGGAACGTTGACGCCTGCAAGGCTCTGGTTAAACCAAATACTTATTTTTGTTTGTTTTATACTATAAAGATCATCCCAACTTAATTCAGTTAAGACTAAAAATTAAATTCAATCACATATCAAAATATGAAAATGAGAATTGAGAAAAATAATACAGCAATGGGAAGGAAAGATGTGTTCTCTCGGTAAAAATAACACGCCAACCAGTAAACATTTTGTTTTGTTTAAAAAAAAAGAAGCAAAAACACTGATTAGGCCTAGGTACAATAGTCTTAGGCTGGCCTTCTTTCAATAAATTCACATTCCAGTCTATGCTCAGTTAATGACTATGTGTTGGTGTTTTTTCAAGTAAATAAACCACCATTTAGAAGGGGTAAACACGTTGCACTAAACGTATAGCTGAATGTTTATGGAAAAATTTGCCAGTAAGAATTTTTCAATTGGAAGAAAACTGAAAAGATTAAATGACTCATTCACTTTTTCGTTGCCAAATTTGAAATACAAATTCAGGGTTGTAGTTTTAGAAAACTAAGGGGTGGGTGGTAGACATTTTAAGAATGGTGGGTGATAACATTTGTAAAATCTACGGAAATAGAGTAGATTTTGAGGAAGGGCAAGGGGGTTGATAAAGGTGGGTGGAGGGAGAGCCGTGAAATTAGCTTTAGAGTGGATGGAAAACTTCAATGCTGTGTGATCCCACCAACCATAACTACATCCCAGACAATTAAAAAATGCCTTAACAATCAATAAGTATATTTCACAAATATTTGCTACCCATCCTTACAAGTCTTGGTACGTGGTCAAATGAGCTATCCCTCGCTCAGTGGATGATTGTGTTTTCTGAAATTCACAATGCCTTGACTACATCCTTGTAATTAATTCGTTGACTTGCTTTCAGATTTGTGATAATGTGAAAAGGGACTTTCCCTTGGGTACAATTCCAAAAGAGTTTAGAAGTAAGGGGATTACATTCAAATAGATAATGCAAATGAATCCTCCTATATATGTATCTTTGGAGAAATCAATGAAATATTAATAAATATTTATTATCAATGTGTTCTTGGTAAATTTTATATTCATTTGAATTTTTCTAATTTATAGTTTGACTTGTTTAATTTTATGTTGGATAATTGTTAATATAAATCTTCAAACTAAAAGCAAAAGAAATGGACATGTTTGTGAAAAATACAGAAATACAATACACACATAATATATAATATATGAAACATAATACTGATTATGAATATTATAAGAAAGAAAAAAAAGTATAAAAAATCAAGTTACATATTAACCTTAACAAAAAATAAAATTTAAAAATTGCACAATCTTTCAGTAGAAGAAAAGATAGGCTTATAAAAGAAAATAGAAAATACTATAAATAAATACTAGTCAATAAACATAGATAAAAGTAAAACATTTTTTTTTATTATTAGTGGAAATTATGATACACAAAAATTACTTCTGAATACTAATACCAGGGCATTTATAGATTATTGGAACTTTGGTTGAGGTGCTTCTCTCTGATCCTGGAGAAATCATTTGTTCAATTCTTTGTTACATCGGTTTTCATTGTACAAAACACCATTCCACTATTCACAGAGTAATAATAGTAGATTATGTAACATCTTGAATAGAATCAAATATTGAAGTGAAGTCAGTCCATGTGAATGGACAAAGGAAAAGTAACAATGAACAAAGTTTGTAAAAATTAAATAGAGATATTTAGATAAATAAATTCCTATTTCAAAAGCTGATTAAAGTCTGTTGATGGATGATTTATTTAGCAAGGCTTTTATATCTTTAATCTATATTCCTCCCATAGATTTTAAAATTGGATTATAAGTAGTTGACACCGATTTTATAATTAGGTTTTATAAATTACTTAATATGCCTGATCTAATACCTATTATAATAAAAATCCATCTCCAAAAGTTCCATAAATGCCAGATGATATCCAGATTAAAATTTGATGAAGGAAATGAGGTGTTACATTGTAGCATAAGTTTGTTCAGATGAATGGATCTGTTTAGTAGTAAAGAACACACTTGTGGAGTGGATGTACTGCAACATTGAAGGGCGTCCCTAACTACTTGTTTGCCTTGGTTCAAGGATAAATTGGACTGAACTGCTCTTTTCCTCTTTTAAAGTATCCTGACTTGATCCCTTATCTTCCTATATCTTAAATGTCTCTTTTACTTGTCAACTTTCTCCATATTTTTTTTTTTTACTAGATTTTCTTATTGCTAAATAGAATACTATTTCAAAACAATTAAAATAAAAAGACAAAGTTTGTGTTCTAATTCTTTATGTTGGGAAATGTATTAATATAATTTGATGTGCCTACTGTACAATCAATCTTTTATTGCAATAATTTGTATTTTGGCAAAAAAAAATATTCTAGGAATTTTTATATTCTAAATGCGTGTTGTATACATTCATTATTGGAATTTTAATTCATGTGAATTTTGGTACAGTTGTGACCACTTGACACATTAGTTTTCAAACTAGCAAGTTTCCTTATAATCACATTAAAACATTAGTATTATTACTGTAAAGAATAAAAATGTAAATGCATATTATTGACTAAAATTACAATTATGATAATGACCAGAGAAGGAGTGAAAAAAAAAAAAAATGAGTACCGGTATGTTACCATTCTAATAATTTGACAGATAAATGGACTGTTTTTGCTTTCCTTCTTTCAGGGATCATCTGTCCGTGTCCTTCTCATTCTTCCTTCATGGTGAGAGTACCGTGTGTACCGCGGTGGCCATCAACCAGCACCATCCCATTCACCACCTTAGTATGTACCATCTGAATGCAGCGTTGGAATCATCCACTGATTTTCAAGGTTTGTAATTCACATTAGTTGGATGTTTGCAGTCTGTTTATTAAAGCTGTTTACAGGGAAATGTAGGCAGTGAAAATGAGAAATACCAGACAATTGCCATCTTATCACATTCACTGTTGCATTTAACACCAGTGTAATGACAACCACCACAACTCCACCATCGTTGTCATGCCATCGTCATCTGTCATTATTATGTCACATCAGCATGTCATCGTCACCGTCATCAAGTCTATCTAACATGTAATCTATTATCCTCTATTGATATCGCCATCACCATTATTGTCAATATTGTCAGCATTTCTATTTATCTTGTCAGAACTGTCATCATCATTGTTATTATCATCATCACTTTGTTTTTACATTGTATTTCTATTGTCCTCTTAATCCTCATCTAGTATTCTATTTTTACTTTTATCATCATAACATCTTTATAATAATTACATTACTGTGAGAATAACTTCATGGAGCTTTCATTGGTAGAGTAAATATATTAGCAAAACAAGTGAGATTTGATGGGTTTACTGTTATAATAATAATAATCTTTATTGCGTATACACTTTTTTATTGGTAGTAACCCTGACACATTAAAAATACAGAACAAGACAATAAAAGGGACATAGTTGAAATTTAATAAAAAATCACGATACATTCTTTAAAATCTTAAAAACACGAGAAATTTCCTTATAATTAAAAAAGATCCACTATAGTTATAGTTATGATAACTACAGTTATGAACTACAGTTACGAAATTCAGAAATCTATAATGTATATTACCTTCATACATTACCTTAAATACAGTAATTATCTTATTTTTATTTCCCTGTTTTCTTGTATTTTTGATTGTGAGGTTATTTGTTCAAGGGGGGATGTAGACAGAGGTGCTTGTCACCTGTTCATCCCTTCCTTTTCGCTGCTGTCTGTTGTATTTTTATATTGTATATGTTTTCTTTGTGCAGTGATGAAGCGTAATAAATAAATAAATAAAAAATAAAATTCATTAATTTTATAGTGATTTTATGTCCGTATGGTCTTGCTGGTATACTGACAGGACAGTATTACAATGGCAATGAGCAGTGTGCGGAGAAGGTGCTCTCCGAATGGAAGCAGTTCTTCCCATTGGCTCCAGGCTTCACCAAGGAGGATCCCGACGGAGAGTTGGACGATAACGCTACGCCGGCTGTAGTTGAAGTTCTCGTTGGTCAGTTAATTTTTTGCTTGTTTTTATCTTTTTACCTTGTGCAAATTCATAGTCAGTGGCATATTTTATCCTGTCTGGTTTCTCTTATAGGAGTCAGTCAATTTTGAAGATGATGTTTAATAGAATTATCTTCTAACATGAATATGCTTTTGAGTTAAAATCTTCATCTAGTGTACCAAATATTACCATTTAAAACAGATTTGACTAGCTCTGGCAAAACCTTGTTTAAAATAAAAATCAAATTAAGTTTTTGGTATTTGAACATTCTGCATGTATTCCTCTTTAAAACTGGTTTTATTTGATGGTAATTGGTTGAGTATGAGCGAAGTTATGAATATTTAATTCATTGGGTATCAGTCATGTAGGTTTTGATAAAACAGCTTCTAAACATTCCAAAATCAATTATTTAATATTGGGATTTGTATTTTTAAAATAATTTAAATATACTTTTCAGTTAGATTTAATGATTAATATTGTGCAGAGATGTTCTTCAGTTTACCGTAACTTCTTTCAGAATCAGAAATTGCGACAAATTTAGGGTCGCATTACGTTTGAAAAAGACTGAAAAAATGACAGTTCTACAGTTATTGCTTCTAATATATCTCATGTTTGCAGTTCAGCCATTGTTCTACTTTATGCTTTCCTGATCAGAATAATTAACAAATTTCCCTTCGAGTTAGCCATTAATGTTCATTTTTCTTTGATTGCTTGCACCAAAAGGACATCTTATATATCAGCGCACTAGCTTCATGCAATGAACGCTTTTTTAACCATACTGCCTTATTAGAATACAATGTTCCCCATTGTTCGTTCGGTGCATGCGATTTCGAGACAGAAAAATAATCTATAGTTTAAAAAAATATAGTTTTTTGGAGTAAAATTATAAAAAAAATGATTAATATTTTTGTAATCCTATATAATTATGTTTTTTATTAATGGAAAAGTGTGCATTGCATCTTGTATAAGAATATAAAACCATTGTTGGAAAATATTGGATGTATTCAACAGACAAAGAAGGCATTGTATATAAGATGTTAAAGCCACATTAAAATGGAAGTGATTTTAATCATGATTTCCATTATTCAAATAGTCAGATCTAGAAAGGAATTTTGAAATCCGCCTTAATCTGCAGGGGGGAAAAATTGAATTATTACACCCAAAATTATTCAGATAATGATGATTTTATTCTCAAATTTAGTGAGTTTATTCTATGAGTTTTAAATCTGTTGAAAACAAGTCTTCATTTTAAAATAAATCCCATGTTTGTAAGTTCCCATTTATGATGTAATGAATGTTTTTGACTGCTTGGAATTAAATATTTTTTGACACCTCATTCTCTTTTTTCTTGAAATGTGATAAGAACACTGTTAACCATTTTTTATATTGCTAATCATGTTTTCTGTATCGGGAGACTAATAAACATTTTTTATCGGTCTTGTATTACTTTAATATACAGTTACATTTTCATACTCATGAAGTCAATAAAATCTTGGCAGTATGTACTGCTTTTGGTCTCATTAGACTTTGTTTGACAAAGTAGATCATCGTCCAACTTTCAATAGATAATATAAACTTGTTTGATCAGATACGTCTATACAAGCATACTGTACTAGCTGACTAATGTCCTGTCTGGAGTGGTATTTTTTTTGTCTGTTCTAAAATGACCATTATTAGTAGACCTAGTTCTATTAAAATAATAATATTGTAATATTTTATGTTCACACATAGTTAAATCGATGGACAAAAAAGTATGTTAATATGTTTTTAGCTTTTAATTTATACTTTAGCAGGAAAAGCACATTCAAATATTATTTATTTCATGCTTAGCCTCATGAAACATCTTGGTTGACATCAAAATTTATCTTTACGTATCCAGGATACATTAAAGCACCAAAACATTTCTAATACAATGTAGTTTTATAGACTAAATAAATAAAGAATGCAAAACATTATCTATTGATTGACACTAGTGACAGAAAAAAATTTGGATACTGTATTGGTATACATCTGATTTTAGATTATGAATCAAACGACATACTGGATGTTAAAACATCCGACTTAACTGGCTACTTGTTTAAATAGACAAGTCAAGGAAATCTACGGGTATTTAATATTTTAAGTTCTTGTAATGGAACCTACAGTAGGGTAAGTCAGCAGTAATTCTTAGACGCGGTGGGAGAAGGTAGAATGACTTTATAATATCCTTTCGCTGGACCATCAGGAAACCACTGTGTTAGATTGTAATGCTAGTTTGCTCCGGATATCTGTGGAACGTTAAGGGAATTAGGCACTGTTAGGACAAATTAATTTGATATGCTGACAATGACAATGACAGCGGCTTTTGGCACAGGTGAGAACATAGGTAGACTGATACTCTGTAATCTAGGTCATACCGCTAAAGTGCTTCTCGTGGAATGAGCCTCGACTTCAAAGAATTTCATTCGTTTATGCAAATTTTTCAGCAGCGGATAGCATAATTTCAATATGGGTTTCCAGGTTTGTGCAAACATCATGTTAGATTATAAGGTTTATGAAAGTGATTCAGTACTTAGCTATATTTAAAATGAATTTTATGAAAATATTTAAGTATATTATGCATATTTGACAAAATGTGTACATATTGTCATTTGCGTGTGTCTAGTATGTGATTGCATACTCTGTCGCATGAGCAATTTCCCTAATTGGGATAGTGTTATCTGCAGAATTCTGTGTAAATTACCATACTCTCAGGGATGAACTTAACAATCTCCAATTTTTCTGTCTCATATCAAATTACAATGTACTATTATCGATAGGCTTTGGATATGTAGATAAGCCATGGTTAAACAATAGCATCATTATTAGTTTTTTTTTAGATTTTATTTTGATTGATTGTAGCTGTTGATAAATGTTTATGGTACTTAACTTCATTCTGCCTTTAATCCCATGTTAAACAAAGTCAAGTAATCTGAGTTTTTCACAATCGAAAACAAAATGAAAAATATTGTATGGTATTTATTATAATATCCCATTAAATTAAAATGGTTCCACATAAACTATAGTAACTTTAGCCTTTGTGATATTCAGTATTGCATTTTAATTCTAATTCCTCATTACAATGCCGAATTATATTATATATATATTATATTTCATTGAAATAAAGCACTTAATCTTAACTTTAGTGTATCTTTAAACAATTTATTCAATACTCTGGCATTGAGCCAGCAAATACATATTTTTAACTGATTAAAAATGATGCAATTCCACTAGCAAATACATCAGAATATATAGTTTTTTTTCTTTCATTTTATAGAATTGAAAATAATTAAACTTGTTTTTTCATTGACTCCAAAATGAATTCCAAGAAACGATACTTTGTTGAACAAAAGGACATTCTGAAAAGCTTATTTTCTTACGAGATTACAGTTTAGATTGCCTATCTCCATTGATCACTGTTAATTACCTGGTTAGGTGTTGTCATTTGGTTATTAAAATATCAGTCCAATCCACTTCATAAACTCTAGTCATAATCTGTCATCATTCTTAAATGTCAGGGACTGGTTCGCCTCCCATTTTAAATAATTTATCATTTTTGAATGATTGGTAGTCCGGTTGATCTGCTTATCTCTCTGAGAAGTGAAAGCTATTGCAGGAAAGAGAATACTCAACACTATAAATTTAAAGTGCATCTAAAAAATATTTATTTTTTTTATAGTACATTGGCATATTTGTATTAAACATATTTATAAATTCAATTAAAAAAATCTAGCAAAATATTCCATTGCAAATACTATTTTATTTATTTATTTATTCTTTCTTTAGTGATAGCACTTTTAGTGGTGCAGCACTGGCTTCATAAGTGAATCACATGAACAAAAAAAAATATATAACAAAAATGCAAATCAGAAATAAAAATCAAATGAACAGAAATATAAAGAAAAATACAAAGAATAGAACTAATTTAATTTGGATCAAGGCAAGAGAACACATTTTGCAGTCAAAATGAATAAAAATATTACAGGGTTAAGATTCAGTTTTTTTTTTTTGTTGATTGAGAGTTTTGATAATTTAATGGTAGTGCATGATGCTTCAGACAAAATGTGTTAGAAATATTGTTTAAAACAAATTCTTTAGAATGGCACAAATATGCAAAATCTCAAAAGAGTCACCTTCAACCACCACTCTTACAATAATTTGACTATGACCTCTCTTTAGTTGGACATGCAAATATAAGTGAATGGAGCCTTGGATTATATACTAATTATAAGATGTGATGCTTAAGGACCGTGTAAACGAGCTTGTAAAGATAAGACATTTCTTGAAGCTGTCAGCACTGTTTTGTATTGACACTTGCGTTGTCTGATGGTGGTAATAATATTGTTGTGCTCAACTGAGTTCAATGTTTATGTATCAAGAAATTATTTGGATAAATTTGGTTTCTAAAATACAAGATCAAACCAGTCATGTTTCGTAAGCAGTGTTCTCCCGAAGCTGTTTTAGCCATCAATTTTACCAGTAAAAATAATTGACCAACCAGTAAAAATTGTGTGTTGGTAGAATTTAAAAAAACACTTATAAGGCCTAAGTAGCCTAGGCTGACTTTCTTTCAACATCATTCCAGTCTAGGCCTAGGCTATGATATGTATGGTTTTTTTTAAGCCTTTGAACTTCACTTAAAAGAGGCAGTACCTCTGTCTATATGGACAAATTTACTAGTAAAATGTTTTCAATTGGGAGAACACTGTTAAGCAATTAATAATATATTAAAAATAAAGGATTGTAGTTTAGGACAGACCATGTGGTATTCATCCCTCAATATGTATAATAATATTTGTAGTTAGGGTCATCATTCATTCGTTCTTTTATTGCCTTGTTTCAATTTAGTAAAGCTAATGACTATAACCCCCTGATTCTTCTAGATTCAGTAGTAAAACAGATATAATTTAAATGTGGATATAGTATTTTCAAATATAATTTACATCACATAATCCGAATTGTTTCTTTGCAGGTGGTGTACGGATGTTGTACCCATCCAATTATGTTGTGGTACCACACAATCTTGAGCTGCCAAACCAACAGCACCCTTTGGCATCCTACCCTCAAGTTGGCCTGCCTCCAAAGGGGCCAGTTGGGCCACTATGTAAGTAAATACAGTCTCATCCAGGTACTTTCTTGACCTTTGTCCTATTTTGTAGCTCGCTTAACTTAGGCAAAAACCCAGTTTTGTTGATAACAGGCAGAAGAGATGTATAGTTTTTATTATTGTGTGTTTTTAGCTATATGTTAACTATTATTTTTATTACATTTGAACACCAACACCGATGAGCTATTTTTCGAGTATTATTTTTATTCTTTTTTTAAAATTCTCTATGACATAAAGCTTTAGGAATTCTATTTATAGAAATTACTATAAATATTTACATTCTTTTGTCTATTTTTATCCCAAACCATAGTGATCACTTGTGGTGTCAAATCAAAAGGACATCAAACCTGTCAATTGTTGTTGTTGTTGTTAATTTATGTTTTAGTGTTGTTTTTTTTTTGTAAGTTTTTGCAATATATTTTTATATAAGTGTAGGCTCAGAATAATCTCGGCTGGCAAGGTGGCCACTGTAATTATAAAAATTGTTTTGAGTATGTTCAGATAGCTCTGAAAAAATGATTTATTGAAAAAAAAACTAAATTGTCTACTCATCACAGCTTGTCCTTCAGTTCCTTTGACACCGCCAACCTCGCCGCCAGAGCATCAACTTCCGGGTGAAGCCAAGATCACAGTGATGCAGACCAGCAACTACGCCTCTGCAGATATGGGGATGCCTGCAGACTTTAATCTCTCACCAAGTGCTATCGCAAAGAGCCTAGCCAACCAAGTTTGGAAAGATTGCTCCGTCACAAAGGATAAAGACATTGACAGGTAAAAACCAGATTTTTATTTAAGGAAAGCTATTCCTGTGTTTTCTTTATTTCATTTATTTATATTTTTATATTATTATTTCTTCATCCATTTGTCGCTATCTGATTTAGTTGGGTGATCAGGATAGTGGTATGTTTAGGGATGCATCGGTCAGGTCTCAGGTCTCTCATTTTGCTGGTGGTCTTTGTAGGGTGACATTTGAGAGTCCTGTGTAGTTATTCATGATTTCTGCCGAGTAGAGTGTTAGCCTCACTTGATTTAGTAAAATGCTCTTTACAATGTTCAGGAAGCTAGTGACCGACTCCATGTCAGCACATTAATTAAATTGATTTCTCCCTGTTCATTAAGAGAATTAGATATCTTTATTTATACAGCACAAAAATATACATTTTAAAGAACTGGGTAAGTGTTAAGTGGGACACCATTAAATGACACCTCAACAGAATGTGTTATGTGACCGTTCAACCACCTGATCTGAACAGTAACAATAGTTATAATTGTATTCATGTAAGGGCAGTGCTTATTCACTCTCTAGTGGGTAGTAGTGGGGATGTAGCATGGTGATTCTTCTAATCCCAGGGGTTTTGGTTCAAATCCTGTGACGACCCTTGATTTTTTTTTTCTCACAACTGAAAGTATCTCCACTCCTAATAATGAAACATCACATTATTTCATTTCTTTAAGAAGGGTCACCCTCAATAAATCTACAGAACTAGATTTTGTCTTTCTTTTGTTTATTTTTCTGTTAACTGTAAGAGGCATCAGATCAAGTTTACAATTTATTACTATAGTATAGTAAATCATGATTATTACATTTAAAATGTTCTACATTGCAAATAAATTTCAGTTGGCTTTTATGGTATTAAGAAACATTCAAATAAATTATTTCCTAAAAATATAACAATGAATATCAGGGTATGTGATGCTCTAACATTATCCAGGGACTTTTGACAGTTGCCATGGCGAATGCCATATGCAATTCATTTAATTCCATGTTAGCATTACGGTATCAAATTCTTAATAATTTATTGTTTGTCTCCGAAAAATATCCAGCACCATAAAACAAATTCTCTGTCATCAGATTTGTTATGCAGAGCGATTGTATTGTGTTCTCATTTGCTGCTGTCTGCTTATCCAGCAATTTAACCCCTTTTAGCTACGTTGACATCAGTCAGTGAACTTGCATAAGAAGTTAACTCATTTTCATTTTCTGGAATTTGTTCAAGTAGAGATCTGAGATTATGATATGAGAAATAAACCCAGTATAATTATAAGTGGTACTTTGGTGTACTGTTTAATAGAAAATTATTCTCCTGTAGTAGAAGGCTCAGTGAGTGATGTTTTTAAAGGTCATGTAATTTTATGTTAATGTCACCTGTTTTATGGTTTAATACTGTACAAATGTCTGGTCATTGGCTATAGAATTTATCATGCCAAATGTGCTACCTCCATTCTTTGGGAGTATGTCTAATTTTAGCAGACATCTTCAGGAACAAAAAAAAAATCCCCTTAATAGGGGTGTCATTGGGGTTGGCTGTAATGTTAAAAGATAAACTTTCCTTCGTTTAGTGCTGGAAAAGTGTTCCTTAATGGGGATGTTCCAAATTAGAGGGTTCAATTCCAAATCAATCACATTCTACCAGATCCCCAGAAAGACGAACATAGTTTTCTCCAAGGATACAGGCAATATGACTAGCTTTAGATTCGAACTTGTAGCCGTTCCTTTTGAAGTCCAACCCTTTATTGTTGCGCCACATGATGCTATCGGAATCCACAGGAGGAGATAAGATTTGAGAAATACCCTGGTATTTGATGTGACTGCACCTAGATCCGGTGTGTTGGGAGGCAAGTAGAGACCCACCTGAAGCTTGCCATCTTGGCTACACTTCAGTAATGACAAACACATCTGTTGGTGCAAGTACTTTTAGATAGTTTTCTTGAAAAATCTCCTGGTAGATACATCGGTCGCTCATTAGGTTAATTTAACCAGTACATTATGGGTATTAACATCAGAAATCTCCATACGGATATCTGACTAGTGTAGTATAACTTTGTGATTTTTGTTTTTAAACTGGTGCAAGTTTTAATTTCATTTTCCACTAAATGCCTAAATTTTTTTTCAGTAGAATGTTTCTTGAAAAAAAATTTTTATTTGCTAAGAATGAAAATGCTCTTTTGCATATTATACTAATATTGTAGTAGAGATTTTATATAAAATACTTAGATTTTGCCAAAAAGGAACATAAATTTATTCTGGCATTACTAAGGCAAGCCTTTTTTTTAAAAATTTATACCTTGTTTCACAAACTTATTTATTTGAAGATCGTTGGAGGAGGGCGGAAAAAAAAATTAAATTGTGTTTTCTTATTTAGCAAATGGTTTTTGCCAAAAACAGACAGAAAAGAAAATAAAAATAAAATTTCATTGTTGAATGTAAACAGTGCAGTAATAGAATTGCTAAATGCTTTATATTTATATAATTAGGAAGAAGTATATTTTTGGAGATTTAAAGCCAGCAGTGGGCGTAATAAATATAAAGAAAAACTTTTATGTTTTTTCTGAAATTTCCATCTTTTTTTTGTGGCGGTAGGTGAACTAATTTTTCCAAAAATAAAATTTTATTTTTATATGGAGTCATCATTGTTGGCGGTGGCAAGTTCGCTAAACAAGGTATGAAAAAATCTTGCCTAATCAAGGTACCCACATCGCTGATATTAATCACATTGAGTAGGCCCTCCTGCACTTCAGCACCAATGTACTTTTGTACAATAAGATTACTATACCTAGGTTTGATTCTTACTTTCAGAAAATCAGTTTTCAAAACATACTAATTTTTAAAGCAATTTTATTCATTTAGATTTCTTTAGTACTAATTAATTACATGTAGAAGTTGAATTCTTAACTGAGTCTGAATTTTGTATAGCAATGCTTGATCTGTATATATTCAAAAACCATTATGCATGAATTAACAAATATCCTAAAATATGCTCTTTTGTTGTTTTTTTTTTTTTAGCAAAATATATGTTTGTCTTATAAAATGATATAATTTTACAGGTTGAATGTTATAAGACATTCCCTATTAGTATTGTAGTTGGAAATGCTGGTAATTAGGTAATATACCTTCAAAACATAAATATGGTCTTTGTTTCATTATATAGTACTTAGTGATGTACTCCCAACGACCTTCTATCAGAAGCTTTTTTTGCGATGTTGAAGAGATAGCAATCCTCAATCCATTATCCTTATGCAAATTGTAAGCTTCATTAAACTACAAATGAACAGAAAATATTAGCATAACTTAGGAACTAATCATTGATTATGTGTATCCTTTCCCAAAAAAAACCCCCGTTATTAATGTAACATCTAATTTAGAAATGCGTGCATACAATAAGCATACTGTGCAGTTGTGTGTTAAACATTGGAATTAATGTACACAATAAAATTCATTTCAGGAGTACATAGAATTTCTAATAAATAGGATATAATGATTTAAAAATAAGTGAAATTCTAAATTATTAACGATGTCTGTAATTATTTTTAACTAGAAGTATAACAAACATGAAATTTAAAAAAATTTATTTAAAAAAAATTGATTACTACGCAAGTATAACCAAGTAGGCCAAAATAGTGCTTGATGTTATAAATTAACAGAGTTAGTACGCAGTAAATGAAAAAGGAGTAAATCTTTGGATTCATGAATTTCATGTATGTTTTAAGCATGAAAATGTATTAATGATGTCTGCAATGTTTTTATTTACGTTTATGAAAAAAAAAATAGACACATGCACTATGTCCTTTCATATAAGACATTTCATAAGACATTTTAACCTCTTATGGTATTAATATTCTGACCTCAAATGAACTTGTAATATATCTGAAAATCAGTATAAAGTAATTTTTTTGAAACTGCTTTCATTGGAAATAATTAACTTATTTTTAGATTTTTTAGATGAGAATCTTTTAAGTTTAATTTTTTTAGGTAGCTCTATAGGTCTCCTTCCAATTAAAGACTGCTTATAAGACTGCGGTTTCCTTGGAAGCAGATTTGGTCTCTAATTAGAATAATAAAGATAAGACGTTTGTAAATGTGGCAAAGACAAGCCAAACCAGTCACTCGTCGCAAAATTCAATTTTGAGTTATTAATACAGTGTTAGAGAGTAAAATATTAGCTATAAAATAGTAAAAAAATCATTCAAATCGTACAATTCCTTATGAAGTTACAAGCGTTTAACCACACAGCTGTTTAAAGAACAATATATGAGAAATCAGCCTTCAAAGTTTATGATTTCAGGCATTTCTCATGCAGAAACTATCTTTAAATTCTTAAAAAGTGTTGTTTTAACATTCAAAATGGGGAAAATAACAGCATAGAATGTGTAAATATATAAAGTTTAGTTTAGTGCAATAAATTAGATTTTTTAAAATTTGACATTCCAGCATGTTTTGGTCCTTTTCTCTGAAACACGATTTGCGACGAGTGACTGGTTTCGCTTGTCTTTGCCACAAATTTTGGAACCAGTGGTCCTTAATTGGAGGTGGTCTTTAAGGCCTATATTTATACTTCTCCATTGATTATTATATCTTCGAAAGTATTAGAGCAATTATATGCTGTAAGAATAACATAAATGCTTTGATGAGTTTGAAGGCTTGGCACTTAAACCACCAAAATATTGTATGTTTTACGTAGTTTTAATTCTTAACCAACTGTTGTATTGTACTGTTAATGGGTTGTTTTCCACCATCTGAGATTACAGATCAGGTGATTTTAGTCATACAAATTTACGAATGTTGTAACTTCCGTGATCCTGTTACTAGGAAATCCAATCCATAAATGGTTATTAATAAGTGATTTCACAATAATAAATGATGTTTGGGGTGGTTTAAACCAGATAACTTAAAATTTTGCGAATGTATCCTAGCTAGAGAAAAATATTTATTTTTTTCATGGAGTAGTCTATCAAATTCAAGTTTACCATTTTCAATTCCAATAAGCAACAGT